CCAATAACGAAAAAAAAAAAAAAAAAAAAAAAGAATGGCAGGGCTGCTGGAGACCACCACAGAACTTCTGAGGACGATGCAAACTTACCCGGGGTCAAAGATCCCTGGAGTGCGGCAGGTTGGTCCAGAACAGGACTGTAACATCATTAGCCGATAGTTCATCTTTCCTAAAAGCTCTGGGTCTATACTTTTAGCAATGTTATTGATTTGGTGTGGGTCTGCAGTCAGGTTATAGACTTCTACAAACACCTACAGGAAATGAAAAGATGGAGGCAAGAAAAAAGCAAGGGTTACATTTGAATCAATACTCATGTGAGTTACTTCTAAATGGGAATGGAGGAGGCAGATTAAAGACCAAGGCCCAGGAGAATATCATCAGGTCTCAAGATTCTCAAAAAGCCCAAGGGTATAGAGGAGACAATGGAGCATCTGTTCTGGGGGTTGAACTGCTTTGGGTCTATGGCCCACATGCTGGAAAGGGGCCTCCAGGATCCCTGTGCCTTCAGGCAGTCAGGAGGGGAGAGAGGAAGACGCTTATTACCTTCTGTAATTAAAGCAGAGAACCGAAGGCAGGACCCTCAAATGGCAAGGGCTCAGAAACTATACTTAGTAATGAGGTTACTGAGTGAGAGCTGACATCTGAAGTTTACCTTTGCCTTACAACTGTGAAGATTCAAATGAGAACAGATACGAAAGTCCTCTAACCTGTGTTGTAAAAATGTTGTTTTCCTATTTTAAAAAGCAGTTTTGGATAAATAACACCAACTGAGGAAAGATACAATATTATTTCTAAAATTAGACATGTCTAATATCACTACTTTCCCCTAATCTGTACTTTGTTCTCCAAACTGGAGTTAGTGATAGGCTAAGAAGATGTACTGTAGATAAATTTTGCCTATAAAGGCTTCAAGTAGCTGCCCTGGACTATCACTTTTAAAGCAGAAGGAACCGAGTTTGAGGGAAGCTCTCTTGCTTGTTGCCCGAAGTGCTCAGAAGCTACAAATAAATAGTGAGCAAGTCAATTTCTGAGAAACATGATGAGCACCGGCTCCATATGGCAAGATGTGGGCTGCCAGATGGGGTAGGTGTGCACTCGCTGATGAACAGTAAGAAACCACACGGGACGGCAGTCAGTGTGATCCTTCAGGTAATCCAGGCTGATCCCGGCTGCCTAAAAGCCACCTTCCTCCAAGGATGCTCTTTAACCTGCTAATCTATTTGATCAGCACTGGACTACACTGTGGTGGTGACAGAAGGGTCTGAACCAAGCTGGTTGCCAACAAACTTTCTAAGAGAGGCCCCAACTCCTTTCATCTCCATAGAAGTTGAGGCATCTTACCTTCACCCCAAACTATCAGGGAAGCAAAATGACCAGGCATGTAGCATCCTGAAAAAGTGAACTGCGTGCGTTTAAAGTGTACATGTGGGTGACGGTGGGAGTGGAGAAAGCCCCACCCAGCAAGGTGAGTTAGAGAAGTCAAGTATGGCCTTGCGCAATCCTGTTTCCTTAACTGATGGAAACCCAAGGGCAAGTACAGATAAGAAACCCATCCTCGCCAGGAAGCATCCTTGGAATTGTTCTTCTGCCATGAAGTTCAGCCAACAAAGCCCTGGCAGTAGACACAAGGGGTGGGGGAGGCAGCAGGCCCTCTTACCTCCTGGTCATCAAACTCGCAATACTGTAAATTCCACATTTCTGACATGGTCCTCACACAGGCATACGTGTTGTTATATGCATCTTCACACACACAGTCTGGGAAACACTGCTGTAGGGACATTTAAAAAGTTAACTGAAGAGCATTCTCCTACAGTAATGAATGCGACTTACTTTACCATGGCGGCCAGGTTGGCTCAAGCCAGACATACAACTGGACAGAAGTGAGGAGACCTTTCACAGAGAAGTAAATCAAAAGTAGACATGAGGCTTTGTTCCTTACTGAGGGCTGACTGGATTAAGGAACATGGGGTGTGGCTGTTTTGTCTGTAGACTGTTGCCATCCCTGCCTGCTATTCTCCTGACAAGAATTAGCTGTAATGAACACCTGTAAAACGTATGGGTTGGTAAGGAGAAGAAATCAATACATGGATGAGTCACTACTATATTAGGATCTTTCATCCTAAAGCGTTGGAGAAAAAGGCTAAAATGAGCTTTGTGGAAAGATCTGTAAGTAAGTTGTTTATGAGTGCTCTTATCACCAAATAGGACTTAGCTTTTTTTTTTTTTGCAGTGCGGGCCTCTCACTGTTGCAGCCTCTCCCCTTGCGGAGCACAGGCTCCGGACGCTCAGGCTCAGCAGCCATGGCTCACGGGCCCAGCCGCTCCGTGGCACGTGGGATCTTCCCGGACCGGGGCACTAACCCGTGTCCCCTGCATCGGCAGGTGGACTCTCAACCACTGCGCCACCAGGGAAGCCCTAGGACTTAGCTCTTATTCCATCCTATCTTCCATCCTATCTTTTGGTTGGTTCCTTACTATACTGTAACACTCTGTGTTCAGCTTCCATTTGGAGTTGACTCTCCTATTTCCCATTCTCTAAAGAGGGGCTAATGTCACTGTTACCACCTGAACGACCAGCCTGGCTGCCATCGAATCAAGACACTCGCCATGGCATGGTTACAGGTGGAAACTCCGTCTCTCTGTTGGATGCCACTGGTAACATCCCTAATGAAAAATGGTACCGCGATTGGGAAGGGAGGAAAAAGAGGAGGGGGTACTGATAAGGTAAGAAGATAAGCAGATATGTGAACTTGTTCCGAAAACTGGAAGAATTCGAAGTGCACCTTCTGACAACAGGTGGGAAGCATCATTTTTCAGGATTATTTTTACCTCTATCTCCTGATCTCCCAGAGTCAAGTAACAAAGTGACAGGAGGAGGACTCAGATGAAGGAGTTTCAGCACTTAGCACATCTAAACCAATGCCATACTGTGCTGTCAGTGAGAAAGCTACTAAGCCAACTCGGGCTACACTCACGGACACTCCAGGACTCAGGGAAGGACACGTTGGGTCAGTGACGTTACGGCCTTCTCCTTGATATTCCACCAGGACATCCGATCGCCAAGTCAGATTACTAGCTCCTTTCTAGAAGGAAGAGCAAAAGTGGTTTCTGTGAGGCATGTAGACTGTGATAAAGATGTCATTCATTAATAATGTTATTCATTCTACTGCTAAAGGGGAGTCAAAACAGATTGGACTGTTTGTTCAGTAACTGAAGGGAATGACTAAGAGACGTTTGAAGGCTACCGAATATCATGTTTGGTATTTATAGAGTCCTCACAAGGGATGTGAATTGCTTTGAGCGTTTAATAGTTATCTCCCAAGGCTACTTCTGTGAAGCAGGTCAGGAGCTAAGCAAGAATCAAAGTCACAGGGCAAAGGTGCTGAAGGTTCGGATCAGAATAAACAATACTGTCTGCAAACCCTGTTAAGAACTCTTTTAAGCTCATACTGAGAAATGCAACGGGGCTGGTGTGCCGAGGACTGTATCAGGGTCGAAGGACTTCCTGATGGTCAGAAGGAAGATACCATACATATATCAACTCGTTTACTTTTTGCTGCACATCAGTGGAGCAGAAGGAAAGAAGCAGCAGCATTTGCAACAGGAAAGTTTAAGACAGGTACACAGATGGTGAAAGGAGGAAGGATCTACGAGTAAGAGGGCGTTTGGGATCAAAAGAACAACGTCAGCACAGGATGGAAGCAGAACACCTGGTGGTACAGAACACCTGATATCCAGCTTTCAGACAAGGAAGCAGGTGGAGAGGCAGGCTGGTACCAAACAGAAAAAGGTCCTGATAGCAGGCTGCCCACTAGTTCTACACAGAACAGCAGGTGATGGGAAGCTACGGGAAGGAGGGGTGGGGCAGGGGGTTTGAGCAGGGAAGTAACACAGTTAAGGCTGTGCTTTAGAAAAGTCAGCCCAGCAGCTGCAGAATCTGGAGATGGAGTGAGGACAGGCATGGGGAGACCAGGTTAGAAGAGGCTCTTAAAATGGTCTACAGCCTTAGTAGTCAAAGTCTGGTTTGTGATCTATCAGCAACACCTGGGGGCTCGTTAGAACTGCACCATCTTAGGCCCTACTTTAGCCTTAACAAGCCGGAGTCTGCATTTTAATGAAATCCACTGGTGACTCATATGCACTGTGAAATTCGAGAAGCACTGCTCCAAAACAATGGTGCTCAAAATGTGCCCCCAGCAGGATCAGTCTGCTGGAAATGTGTTACAAACACAAATTCTTAATTGCCCCTGGGGGTGGGGAGTAATCTGCATTTGAACCAGCCCCACAGGCACGGCTGATGAATGCTAGTTTGAGAACCACTGTTCTAAGGACCCGAGTGGACCTATTTAACCTGGTGACCACAGTGGGGAATGGGTGAAGGCCTGCACAAGGCCGTAGAACGTATTTCCTAATCACTGTTCTATGATGAAACCCGAATAATCCTGTGCCGATGAAGGTCTCAGAAACCGTAAGTCACAGGAGACTTCAGAGGCTGCCACTCCCCTGTAAGGAACCATTCTGCCAACCCCGAGCCACAGAAGCTGGGGGTCAAGGGAAAAGCTTATCTGTCAGATCTGAGTGGACCTCAAAACCCCACACTTAAATGTCAAAGTATGTAGGGGTAAAAAGAGTGCCTGGGAGGTCTAGAGCAGAGGCCTCTAACTTGGCTGCAAATTAAAACCACTGGGGGAGACTTGAAAATCCCAAGGGCCAGGTCACATCTTGGGCCAATTAATCAAGCTCGCTGGGGCTGGGCCCCAGGTGTTAGTATTTTAGTTTCCCAGGTGATACTAATGTGCCACCAGGTTTAAGACTGATGGTCAGGAGGGGTCATGGTCTGTGGCTTTATAGTCTGTTGCAACTATTCAATTCCGCTGTTGTAGCAGGAAAGTTGGCCCATCAATACATACAGGGAGGAGCATGGCTGTGTTCTGATACACCTTCATTTACAAAAACTGGGGGTGGGCTCGACTCGGCCCACATGGGTTTGCCAATCCCCTGGTCTATAGCAGCCCTATCCAGCAGAACTTTCTGACTGAAATGTTCTATAACTGTCGCCCGATACAATGGCTTCTGAGCAACCGATATGTGGCTAGTGCCACTGAGCAACTGAATTTTTCATTTTATTCTAGTTAATTTAAATAGTCTCACGTGGCTAGTAGCTGCCGTATTAGGGCAGAGCTAGAGGTATAACAGCCACAAACTGCTCTGCAGCCCTAATACATAAGAGGTTTCACTGGACCAACCTCCAAAACAAAACAACAAGGCAAAGAGCCATGTCCTAAGTGGCATTTCCAAAACTTTGCAGAGAAATTAACTATGAAATAACATAATGATTTTAGCCCTGTAGTGAAGGTTTTCTCCTAATTAGAAATAAATAAGGTATACAGGTTAAGATTTGTATGGGAAGAGTTAAGAAATGTAAAGTTCCCTCTATCTGATCTATAGATTCATTGTAATTCCAGCCGAAGCCCAAAATGATTTTCTAGGCCATCTGAAAAGCTGTTTTTAAAGTTTATAGGGAAGAGAGGTAACCGCCTCTTAGGATACCCCTAAGAACAATGAGAAAGGTGTGCCCACGCAAAGATTTAATTATACAGCTTTATAACAAGATAAAAAGATACTGGTTCAGGGAGAGACAGATCTGTGGAACAGAAAAGACAGCTGAGTATTTACAGAGAAAAAAATGAAATTGGATCCCTGACTCCTACCACGCAAGAAAACCAATTCTAGACACATCAAGGACTTGAATGTAGAGGCAGAACTACAAACCTTTCAGAAGAAAATCTGGGAGCATTGTTTTCTGACCTCAAGGTTCAGAAGCATTTTTATAAACAAGACACAAAGAACACTAACCATAAACTGAGATGATTTACACATTCAACTCCTGTGTTCTCATACCTTAATGTAGGGAA